GGAGATTTAGATATGCTTATTTGTAGGAAAATCGTCCCCCTGTTGTTGTTATATATATAAGGGTTTTAAAACCCTTATTCAGACCTATCATAACCCTTGGCCCAATGTCCCTTTTCAGAACCAAGTCCCACCTATGGTCATGACTAGGGAGCAATTGGCTGAGGTCATACAAGAACAGTATGGACCAGCTACAAATGAATAGCAATCACAGAAAAAGATCTCCATCTTAAGATAATAGCAAATAAGAAAATACCACCACCAATTCAACTCCTGGCTTGCTCTGAATGACCGGCAACGACTTAGTAAGCTTTGATATTAGCATAAAGTCTCGGTTTTAATCATTTATCTGAAAGGTCCTCATCTTAATGCTCCAAAATTCATAATTTTCTCTCTCAAACTTCAATTTTCCTTCTTCTCTTGCTTCAAATCTTTGAAGCTTGATAGTTCCTTCATTACTTGCCGGATTTAGGTGCCGTTTGAGGCAAAACGAAGGACAACTCTTAGAAAGAGATAAAACGCTCTAATATTTTGTAAGAACTCACAGAGGATTACATGGATATTCTAATGGTATATGTGCGTTAATCATCAATCAAGTACGAGTCTAAATTACTCTTTAATTAATTAAAATATTCTTGATTTTTACATGGATTAATTTGATTAAAACCAACACAAAGATCCTATTTCAACACTAGAAATGAGTTTTTTTATATCTTAATTTAGATAAAAATACAGTTCAAATCACAAATCACAACAAGTCTTTATGCAGTTCTGAAAATAATACTTGGCAGAAAATTGCTTGGTCGAAATAACTTCTATAATTTCAGATAGACATGAACTACTCTCTATTGCATTTCACGATTACTTGGTTAGGATCTGTTAGGTCTAACATTTCAACTGAAATACTGGCCTAAATTGCATACCTCTACTTAGTTGCAATACGTTAGGTTTTAAAGTGATTGATTTGAGGAGAAATGAATGTAAAAGAAAAAAGAAAGAATATTGGATCCAAATTATCCGAAGTCCGAACCCAAAGGATGATTATATGGGCTGGGTCGAACATAGGACCATTCGTTCACTTCGATGTGACATGGATGAGCCTGTTTGTGGTGTCTCTATGGGCTATTATATCCCACTCTTCCCCATTGTTTGTTTCGCCCAATTCACAAGCTGCGCTCTTTAGCATCTCCACTAGGGATGTCAATTTTTACTGCCCCGCCGGGGCCCCGCCCCGTTCCGCCCCTTTAATAACGGATATGGGAACACTTGTTATACCGTTGGGGCGGACATGGATACAAATTTTGTACCCGTCGAGGGTCACGGGGCGGGTAAGGGTTCAATATACATATCCTAGGGGCCCCGCCCCGCCTCGCCCCGCATATAACTATATTTAATATATATATATATATATATATATATATATATATATATATATATATATTAATAAGTTATTTTAGCGGCTTCCCCAATTACCCATCTCTTACAATCCTAATTTGGGATGTAAATTTGGTACTAAATTTGCTTTTGTTTTGGTTATGGTGGAAGTTGGAGCTTAGAATTTTTTGTGATTTAGTTGTATTAAACTTTTATTTTTGTTTATTATGTTCTCTGAATTATGTTATGTGCATGTTATTTTTTTTATTTTTATTAGGATACATAATTTTATTTATGTTGTGTCATTCCTAGGCTTTGCACATTTAAATAGCAGGAGTTTAAGTTCCAAAAAGTGGGGAAAAAAATTTGTTAGTGGGGCGGGCACGGGGGCAGAGTATTTCCTAACGGGGCGGGGTTGGATATGAAAATCCAACCAGTCGCGGATCTCGGGGCGGGTATGGACTTGACAAAAATTAAAAGGGGCGGGGCGGGATTTAGGAAAACCCGCTCCAAACCCGCCCCGTTGCCATCCCTAATCTCCACTCTGTAATTGCAATTATTTCACAGCAACAACAAGAACCACAACAGCTATATTCGTATCAAATATTGCACGAGTCCACCAATTTCGGACCCATTCTCTGGGCTTCACCTCCAAAACCCATCTCCAAATTCCACCCATTTTCACTCTACAGTTCTGGGTCTCCCTCTTTCTTTCATGCCAGGGTTTCTCAGTCATCAGGTCTCTCTCCGCCTTACCCTTGAAACATTACTTCCTTGCAATTTTCTTGAATTTTTTTCTTGGTTTTACTTATTTATTTATTTTTTGAACTTTAATCATAGTTAAAGTGGAAAAATCATGCAGACGAGGAGACGGTTAATTTGGCTAAATTGAGGGTTTTGAAGCAAAACATTGAGTTGCTTATCTCTATAAATATTATTATTTTTAATCTTCAATGTGAAATAGTATTTTGAAAGTATCTTCCTTGCTCTTTAGAGGGAATACCAGACCACATTATAGTATTAATGTCTCAAATCAACTATGATTAGCTTTGGTTTTCGATTATTTGTACAATTTTTTGGTTCAGTTGTTTCATGTAGCTGGTTGAAGTCTAACTGAGTGATTTTGGCGGACTTGTATTCTAGGGTCCATTTGAATGCACTTCTTAAAAATGCATTCTGTTTACAGAACTAAAGGAAGTAAAATAAAAAAATTATGGAGTTAGTGTCATTTGTCTGCATGAGCCTAAAGTAGGGATGAATATCAAATTAGATGTTTGGATAGAAGTTCGAAGGGAAAGACAGTTTTTTTTTTTTTTCCTAGTTGATATGAGCCCCCATAAAAGTTGTCAGTCCTAAAAGTAATATCATATATGTTCTCCAAATTCTAAGTAATATCATATATGTTCTTCAAATTCTAAGTAATATCATATATGTTCTTCAAATTCTAAGTGATGCTGATTTTTTCTCTTGTATTTAAGTCTCTGTTTGGTTAACACAATGCAAAGGTGGGCAGCTGATGGAGAGGAGTCTATCTTTTCATATATCACCGAAAACAGGGAAACTATTTTTCCTACTTTTATGCCTGCATGTGTTCTACTTTTAAATGATTTCCTTAGCTTATTATTTGATGTTTTTGGGATTTTGCTATGTGGAGGGCTTTTCATGTTGAGTGTGGATTGGAATGTATAATTTCAATCTCACTTCTGTTTTCAAAGTTATTAAAATTGGAGGGCTATTCTATTCAGGAGTTGAGAACTCCAGTTGCAGATTTTTGCGGACAACAGGGAAAAGTATAATGGGGTCAACCAAAAAGAAGTCAGTTCCTCCAGGCAAATAACAGAGGAGAGCCTGAGGTTAGAACCACTAGTTGACGAGGTACTAAATTTATTTTTTCATGCAGAAATTTCACTTTATTTATGTTACAATTTAGTTTAAATTTTCCTTATTTTATAATGATATTATGGTAGAGTTGTTTGCATAACCTCTTTTCCTGCTTGTGGGGTGTGCTCTTGGTGGTTTGTCTAAAATGCTAAAATTGCAATTACTACTGGTGAATTCGTAGTTGTAACTGCAAGTGGGAAGAGAACTTTATGGTCTCAAAGTGAAATCAATATACTAGAAAGTGTGAAACTCATGCATATATGTTTTGAACACCGAGGATGTCAAATTTTCGGAACAGATTGTTGTGGGTTTGTCTTGAAAGGTGACTGATATATATTGTAAAGTGAACAAAATATCATCTTGGTTGGATAGTTTGAATATAAAAGAGAATATGTAAATCCTAATAATGGGAGGGCTTTGTAAAAGAATATGTTCATTAGGAACTTGGAGATAATGGCATTAATCTTTTCATTTGGCAGTCTGTTGGGGGATGCCTACCAACCTGGGTTCAGGTCATCAAACTTTGAACTTGAATACCTTTTTTTTTTCCTCCTGTTTGCCTATTCAAAATTAAGTAATTGAAAGAAATTAACAGTCTTGAAATACTAGTGTTATACAAATTGGATGTAATTTATTAACTGATGAAAAAGTTGGAGCAGTACTTATTTTACTACATTTTTTTAAAAATAAATATTATTGTTTTCATGATATTAACTTTCAGGATCTCTTGCTAGGTCCAAACAATTCCTTGAGGGGAGAGGATGCGTGAGTACCAACTAGGAAAAAAAATAAATAAAAAGATACTAACTTTCGGGATCATTAAACATGATTGCACATTGCTCTTCTTTACTAAGTCTGAGAGTTGTTTGGTGTGTTTCCATCACTGCATTAAGTTCCTTGGAAATACACAAGCACAAGGAATTCAAAATTTAACTAGAGAAGTCATAGTAGTACAGACCTTCATTGTGTTTGGGAAGGATAGTGGGAAAAAGAGTAAAGAGTGTTTTTATATGCAGTACATAGACTATTAATTATAGTTCTTGATTACTATGCATCATTCATTCATATATATGCCCATCAATTTTCTTAGCCAAACGACAAAGTGCATTTTTCTTATGCATAGTAATACCAGGTAAAACATCTGTGTCAATGTCTTCCTTCTTCATACCAGTAGGTAGTTCCCACTCAAAAGAGTAGAGAAGATTAGCAAGTGCAAGCTCCACAGTCACAACTCCGAGATACATCCCGGGACAACCTCTTCGACCTGCCCCAAATGGAATCAATTCGAAATCTTGCCCTTTATAGTCAACGGCACTACCCATGAATCTCTCAGGCAAGAATTCTTCTGGGTTTTCCCAAGATTCGGGATCTCTTCCAATGGCCCATGCGTTCACGTAGACTAAAGTCTTGGGTCGAATCTCATACCCATTTATGTTGCATTTTTTTGTTGTTTCGTGTGGAAGCATCAACGGAGCTGGGGGGTGCAATCTCAGTGTTTCCTTCACCACTGCCTTGAGATAAGGAAGTTTATGAAGATCATCTTCTTTAACCATACCTTTCTCACCACTTGCATTTCTAATTTCTTCTTGTGCTCTCTTCATAGCTCTAAGATGTTTCATTAGCTCCGTCATTGCCCAAACCAAGGTGGCAGCACTTGTGTCTGTTCCAGCCATAAATATATTCTGAAAGCAAAAAACAAAAAATTCAAATGGTAAAACCATGGTTCAAAGGTGTGGAACAACTCTATCTTTGGAGTTCACAGTATTGAATTTTGAAGAGAATAACAATAGTGAAAATTCAAGTCAAACAAAATTCCCCTTACATAACTTATCCAAACACAATATTTCATAATTTTTCACAACTACTTAAATTCAACTATGTGAATACTATTTCAGAACGTTTCAATCTCTCATTCTGTAACATAAGATATATATAACTAAACTAACTGCACTACGAATCTGGATCCTCTGTGGTACAGGACGCGTACTGCAACACGTGTGCACCTATTGTTAATTTGCATAGATCATTTATTGATATACATGCCCATGATATTTCTTAGCCAGAAGGCAAAGTGCATTTTTCTTATGCATAGTGATTCCAGGTAAAACATCCATGTCGATGTCTTCCTTCTTCATACCAGGAGGTAGTTCCCAATCAAAAGAATTGAGCAGATTAGCAAGTGCAAGCTCCACAGTCAGAGCTCCGAGATAAATCCCGGGGCAACCTCTTCGACCCGCCCCAAATGGAATGAATTCGAAATCTTGTCCCTTGTAGTCAATACAACTATCCATGAATCTCTCAGGCAAGAATTCTTCTGGATGTTCCCAAGATTCAGGATCTCTTCCAACGGCCCACGCATTCACGTAGACACAAGTTTTGGGTGGAATCTCATACCCATTTATGTTGCATTTTTTCGTTGTTTCGTGTGGAAGCAGCAATGGAGATGGAGGGTGCAATCTCAGTGTCTCCTTCACCACTGCCTTGAGATAAGGAAGTTTATGAAGATCATCTTCTTTAACCATACCTCTCTCTACACTTGCATGTCTAATTTCTTCTTGCACTCTCTTCATAGTTCTAGGATGTTTCATTAGCCCTGTCATCGCCCAAACCAAAGTGGCAGCACTAGTGTCTGTTCCAGCCATAAATATGTTCTGAAAACAAAAATAAAATAAAAATAGTATGAGAAATACGTTAAAAAAGTTGTAACCTAGTGTTGCTTCTATACTTTCCAAAGTGGAAAGTCGAGGATTCAGTCATAAAAAAACAGTTTTTTAAAACTCTAGAAAGTATAAAGACTATTTTCTATAGCAAAGACTTTTCGGGTTTTTGAGTTGTTAACCACTAATTTGATAAAACTTAAATTAGGTTTTGGGAGTGTGTAAACCAAGGAAAGTAAAGAAAAAACAAAAAAAAAAATTACCATGAGCACTGCTTTAATATGATCTAAAGTGAGATCAATTGTAAACGAGTGATCCTTCTGCAGCTGAAGTAAGACATCAAGAATATCCTCCTGCTCGGACTTACTGCTCTCTTCTTGCAAGCGCTCATCGATGATTTCTTGGTAGAACAAATCCATTTCCTTGAAAATTTTATCGGCCCTGCTTGACATGCCATTGAGTTTATCTACCCAACCAAGAAAAGGAAAATAATCCGAGAGGAAGAAGCTTCCTAGCATGGCCTGAGCTTCATGAAGGAGGCCATGAAACTTACTCCTTACGCAACCTTCATCGTCATACCTCTTACCAAAAGCAATTCTACAAATCATGGCACTAGTGAGAGACATTAGCATCTCACTTAAGTTGATGAGTTTAGAAGCAGAAGCAAAGTTGGAGATCTTTTTGATCATTCGCGAAACCTCATCTTCTCTAATGTAACGGAAGGACTCAACCCTCTTGGGGTTCAAGAGATGAAGGACACAAATCTTCCTCATTTCTCTCCAATACTCACGGTAAGGTGTAAAAGCCACATCTAAGCCATTGTAAGATAGCTTTCTCTGGCCAAGTAAAGATGGCCTACTAGCAAATTCGAGATCATGGGTTTTCAGGACCTCTTTAGCCATCTTTGCTGAAGAAACCACAAGGGTTGGAACGAAACCGAGTTGGAGGGTCATGAGAGGGCCATATTTTTTGGAGAGTTGCCATAGGTAGTGATGTGGAGCTGAGTTAGCAAGCTCGTGTAGGTTACCGATGATTGGAAGTCCCGGAGGACCCGGGGGAAGATGATTTGCTCCGTACTTGTTTCTGTATTTTTGATGAAGAAAGCAGAGCAGACTGAGTGTTGGAAGAAAAAGAAGCAATATTGTCATCATGGTCTGGGGAGATAAAATGAGTTGGTATTGTGTGATCAGGCTGAGATGTGATTCTCTCTCACAGATATAGAACTTTAAACAAGGATCACAAAATTCACAAGTTTCACAAAATCTGAAATAAAGACAAAAAGTCTATTTTAAATTATTAATAATTATAGTTTTAGTGAAAGCCCCAATTGTACGAAGGCCCCTAATTATTTTTTTTATTATTATTTTTTTAATATGTTTTGGTAAAGTATACTGCACCTAATGAGATTTGTCAAAAAAATACTTAGATGAAAGTTACCTATTTTTTAAACAAAATGATACCCCTTAAAGATTGAAAAGTGAACAAAAACACTCCTTGAAGCCAACTGGCATAAAAAATTGACCAAATTGTCCACTATTTAGTTGACCTTTTTAATTTTACAAGTTAATAAATTGAACAAATTTATCTTTATAAAACAGATGAAATATATATATATATATATATATATATGTAGATACATCCATGAAACAAATTAATAAAACCAACATTTGACACCAAAAGTTACATAATCTATCATTACATAACCAACATGTCAACCAACCATCCAACAACCAAGTATCAACCAACTAATAAAAAATAACCAACTGTTATGTCTGTGTCATATGTGACATTACAAAAATACTTGTCCCAACAAGTGTCTCAAAAACAGAAAACCAAATATATATCCCTTAAACAGATTAATAAAACCAACATTTGACACTAAAATTTACATAATCTATTATTACATAACCAACATTCCAAGTGTCAACCAACCATCCAACAACCAAGTGTCAACCAACTAACAAAAAATAACCCAACTGTTATGTCTGTGTCATATGTGGCATTACAAAAATACTTGTCCCAACAAATGTCCCAAAAACAAAAAACCAAATAACCCAACAGTGTTATCTATGTCATCTGTGGCATTACAAAAATACTTGTCCCATCAAGTGTTCCAAAAACAGAAAAACATGTTACCTTAATCCCAAATAGCCAATCAATTGCTGATGGTCCACTGGATTGGGTGGACGGTGTAGCTGCTGCTATACTTAACACTGCATAATTTCTCACTTGCAAAAAAGAATATTTGTAAATATAATCACATTAGTGTCCTGATTTCCAATTGATTAATATTAGGTTCTCTGGAATTAAATGTCTGATACATAAATTTATTGGGTCAACAACTAGGCACTAATAAATATAAGCAAGCAAAGCATGGCTGTTAGACCTGTGGCGCTAAATTTTGAGGGACAATAGTGTCATTTTGACATGTAATGATATTTTATAATAAATTTGAATTTTATATTAAGGGATAATTTTGTCTTTTTATATAATTTAAAGCCTTGTTTGGATGAAATTTTTTCAAGGAGATGTCATTATTTAAAAAACAGATAATTTTTACTTGAATATCTTTTTGTCAAATCTGAACGGTATTAGTGTACTTTACCCTTAATGTTTTTTTTTTTACTTCAAATTTTTAGTAAAAAGATTTTGATTATTTTGTATTTGATTTTATTTTATATTCCGCTTTGATTTACTTAGATGTAAGGGGATGCATTGGGTCAATTGATTGAGACCTATCACCTTTAATTAGTAAAACATGTCCATGGTATGGACTTATTCAATTAAGTAGATTAAAATGCTTAGATATTTTGTTTTGTTCTGTCAGATGTCAAGTAACACAAAAAAGATTATTGTATTTATCTTCTTCTTTTTTTAATTCATTTTAAAATGCTGCCGGGAATAACAGCCCACTCACAAGGAGAAGGAGATGACGAAAACAGCCCAACTTAGAGCGTATATAACAAACACTGTTAAAAATTAACATCCAAACTCAAAGCATTGTGTACTCCTACCATTTCTCTGTCTGCTATCTTGCCGAGTCAAATATTACAAAGTGGATTGAACTAAAGAAATAGTAATATTACATACAAATCGAACTGTGAATTAGTGTACAATAATATTAATTTATTTTATTTTCTTATTTTTATTTTATTTTTCCTAAACTTGGGCTATAGCCTAAGTTAGCCCTTCACTAACTCCACTCCAGATTACCACTAATCAGCTCCAATTTGACTAGCCATAACAGAATCCTTTCAGGAAATTGTTTGAGATATTAAATATCGTGGCTATTGCTTCAAATGATATTGCTTCAAATGAGTGGCAGCTTGGCTCCCAAAGGCTCTCGCATTCCCTCAAGTAAACTGCTGCTGCAAATAAGTTCATGAACTAGAAACTAATTAATTTGGATTCTTTGAAAAACTTGCAGTTTTTTTTTTTTTTTTTTTTTTGGGTAAATAAATAATAAAACCTATTAAGTTAGAGGCCTAAAATAGTAATTTATTTCACTAACCAATTGTAAGACGGAGTATTTCAAACAAAATACTGTGTCAAAATAATCTTAGTCGTGAGATGCAACAGAGGCCACGTAAGTCCCACTTTGGCCCCCAACAACATGTGTTAGGCCCAACATTTCAAATGCCGGAGCCATGTGGCATCATTGGAACCACAAACAACTTGGAAGTGTTCCAATCGAAACAAGAGTGGAGCTGAAATTCTCAATTTATTCAACTCAAAATACATCAAAATACATTCAAAATTTCAAAAAAAAAATACTCTCTATTGTACAAAGTCAATTTTCTCAAATATAAAAAAATTCTCTAAATAAATAAATTAAATCCTGCCAGGCTGACTCTTCAGCCTAAACTCGAATCTAATAATTTCCGGCCATCCTCGGTACTTAAAACTGGAGGGTGGTGCGACTGAAAGTCCCAATAGAAAAAACCATAACAAAAATTTCATAAAAATTTAACAAAAACAGTTTCATAAAATAAACATATTTAGGTGAATATAAACAAAATACATATATATTTAATTTAAAACATTTAATAAAAATATTGAAGCAAAACCACTCCAGCAGAATTCTACACTTAAAAAAAAAATTTCCTCACTTAATTAACTCTCAACCCACTGTCTCTGTTCTCAAGCTCCCTCTCTAATTTTTTCTCTCGGCTCACTCTGCCCCCAAACTCTTATCTCTATTCTCTAGTTAACTCAATGTGCATACACGCGCTAAATTGATAATGCCTCCACCGACCTACCACTGCTCACCCATCACTTCTCCATCAGACAAAACCAAAAACTTCACTCCAAATGACACCTAATGATCCCACCACATTATTACCTTATCACTTCCTACTCCTTCTTTTAATCCTTATCTTCAGATACAAATCATACCATATCATCCAAAAACCTTTTTGGCCACAAAGTCTTCAGTGGGTCCCGCAATTCAACATTTCCCATTTTCAACACTTCGACTGGAAGCTATCCTTTTTCATAAAAATACAAACAAATAATATATATATATATAACACAAATGTAACAAAAAAATCAACCCATCAATTATCACAAGTGGGAAGGTAAGCTACCCACGAATTCCATTTCCTTCTCTTTTTCTTCCCATTATATATATATATATATATAATCAAAAACCATATCAAAGACCCATAAAATACCATTCAAGTGGGACCAAAATCAACCATCTCAATTTTCTCTCAATTTCGCCTCCAACTGCCTTCATAAATACAATACATATATAAACAAAATTAAATTAAATTTCAAAACTCATTAATTTTAATAAATAATTAATTAATTCAAATAATCTACAAATCATAAATTAATTATATTAAAATTTTAAAAAAATTCAGGTCGTCACAGGTATTGAAAAAACACTTGTGAAATGAATTCAACAGTTACATGACAATAAAAGTAATCGTTTACAATTTGAAAAAATGTCATTGAGTTCCAATCAAGAGTGAATAACCTTTTTAGTTTGCTATCTAAAATGAGACATCAAAGATCCCCATTTCAACAATAGAAATGATATTTTTCTTTTTTTATTCTAAATGTAGACAAAAATACAGTTCAAATCAGTCATCACTACAAGTCTTTAAATAATTTTTAAAATGATACATGGCCGAGCATTACTTGGTCAAAATAACTTCTATAATTTGAAATAAATGTAAGTTGCTCTTCATTACGTCTCATGATTACTTGGTTAGGATGTGTTAGGCCTAATATTTCAACTGAAATACTGGCCTAAATTGCACACCCCTATTTTAGTTGCGTTACGTTAGGTGTTAAAGTGATTGATTTGAGGATAAATGAATGTAAAAGAAAAAAAAAGAATATTGGATCCAAATTATCCAAAGTCCGAATCCAAAGGATGGTTATTGGACTGGGTCGAATATAGGCCCATTCGTTGACTTCGATGTGAGAGATACAGAGACACCTCGATTGTGGTGCGTCTCTGTTGGGCTATTGCATTCCTCTCTTCCTTTTTGTTTGTTTCGCCCAATTCACAAGCTGCGCTTTTCAGTATCACCACTCTGTAATTGCAATTAACTCACAGCAACAACAAGAACCACAACAGCTATATTCGGACCCATTCTCTACTCTTCTCGGGCTTCACCCCCAAAACCCATCTCCAAATTCCACCCATTTTCACTCTACAGTTCTGGGTCTCCCCCTTTCTTCCATGCCAAGGTTTCTCAGTCATCAGGTCTCTCTGCGCCTTACCCTTGAAACAGATATGTTCTTCAAATTCTAAGTAATATTACTTATCAATAAAAAAAATTCTAAGTAATATCAATGAAAATAAGAAGGCCTCTTCTTTCCATCAAAATACCTCATATTTCTCTCAAGTCAAATACACCACCACACACAAAGAGGCCCTCCAAGCAAAGCGAATATGAGCCCCCACAGAACACCTACTCCAAGCCTCAACTAGCCAAGAAGTTCTGAGATCCAAAGGGTGAATTCTGGAGATGGGTTTTGAAGGGAGAGCAGAAAAGAGGATTTTTTGGTAGTACTGTGAAAGGTGTGGATTTGAGAAATTGTTCTGAATTGAAGAGTTAGTGGAGAGGGCTGCGATGAGGAATACGCATGTTGAGAAACGAAAGAGTTCAGTGCTTCCTTAATTCATACTTCTAAGGGTTTAGGTGAGATAGAGAGAGTGCAAGGGTTTAAGGTTTTTTCGCTCATAGAAATAG